GAAAAACTTTGACTGTAAAATAGACTGTAATCAACAGTTTTTTGGCAGGGGCGTTTTTGGCTGAAAAAAAAAAACCCCAGGACTAGTGGGTTTCTAGAGGAGTTTTTAAGCTATAAAAATGCTCAAAATCTTAAAAAAACACGGTAAATCACAGCAAACCAGCGATTTTGGACCTTTTGTGACCACGAAAAATATTTTTTTCTGTAAAAAAAAAAAAAAAAAACCTCTAAAAAACGCAAACATGAAAAAAAGTGGTAAAACGCCGCTAAATGCTAATACAAAACCGCTGAAAAACTCACGTTTTTAACGTGACTTTACACAGCTAACGTTACCAGCGTTATTAAAACGTCCCATGCACATGCAGCCCTAAGCTGTTTGTCTGTAAGAATTTTAATAAACAAAAGTGTACACTTCTACAGCACAGGTAGGTATGCAGTTGGGGTGGAGGAGATTAGTGAACGTTTAGTTAAATGTAAACCTGTACTTCAAGGGTCCATTTAGATTTGTGTGGTGCGTTTTTTAGAGTTTTTTTTTTTTTTTAGGACTAGGCAGGTCTGTTGTCAGCTGGCAGCAAGAATTTCCTTTTCTAAGTTGACAATCTTTTTTAACGCATTTTTAAATTTAGAACTTGGAGTGCATGGGGTGAACAGCCATTGGCCAGCGCTTGATATTACCTGTTGCCAACACATCAAAACACATTATTAGCATTTTGATGTGCTACCATTGACTTCACAATCCACTACAATGCAGAAAAAAAAAAACCAGACAAATATATTGTTATTTTCAATATGTACTGCACTGCAGAGCTGAGATGGGAACAGGCACTATTTTGTATTATGGGAAAGTTGGACACATGCGTTTTAGTACTTTGCAAATCCTGAAGACTTCCTATTGAATGAAATGTGTTGGGCAGAGTTAGCGCACGGATGTCACACAGGACATTCCAACATCGGATTTTATCCATGTATTTTATCTGGATGGTTTTAGTCAAATTATATTACAGGATTTCATACACATTAGGACTCTTTGACCTCATATTATATGGTTTTTGGTAAATCTAAAGAACATTGTATAGTGTATGGTCAGCTTTAGTTTGCAATAGGGTAGTCTCACTTTTAGTCAGGGTGGATAAAAATCAATGACTTAAAAAAAAAAAAAAAAAAAAAAAAAAATCTGATTTTTTTTATATTTAAATCTGATTTTTTTTATTTAAAATCAGATTTTTTTTCTTTTATTTGTATCAAATTTATTTTAATAAAATGCTTTTGGAGTAAAAATCTAAAGATAATTTTCCATTTAAGATACATTAATAATTTAGTATATTCAGCAGGAAATGGAGCTTAGTTATGTATCATTCATGAGGCTGTATATTCTGCAATATGTACATTTTTGGTAAACTCATTCAATGAATCCAAGCTCTGCAAGCTGAGATCACATGCACTGCATTGATGCATTCACACAATATCACAGTAACAGGAGAACAAACATGAAATACAAGAATTTGAGCCGTTCTCCAGCTATGTGTGATGAACCTACTAACCTAAAATCCGTTCTGATATCGCTGATTTACTAACCTGACAGCTTATTCTTCTAAAAAGGAAACCTTCATTTGGTTTTGCAAATATAAAAGATTCTAACTACCAGCAAGAATGAGTCAGATTCCTTACATTTAAAGAGCACCTGTCATTTTAGATCCATCATGGCAGCGCCTGTTAGTGGGCATCCACTCACCTGCTGCCGCCACGTCCCTCGCCTTGTTGTGTCCCTGCCGCATCACCAGCCGTCCCATTAAAGCAGTGTTTCTCAACTCCAGTCCTCATGGACCCCCAACAGGTCATGTTTTCAGGATTTCCATTATTTTGCGCAGGTGATTTGATCAGTTTTCACTGCCTTAGTAATTACCACAGCTGTTTCATCTGAGGGAAATCCTGAAAACATGACCTGTTGGGGGTCCATGAGGACTGGAGTTGAGAAACACTGCATTAAAGTGAATGGGACTGTCGGTGAGTCAACAGCGGGTCAGAGGAGGAGCCGCTGCGGACAGAGATGACAGTTGCCCTTTAAAATGATGATTTAAATTGAGCCTTTTCACTAGTGATATAAATCATGATTTAAATCAAATCCACCCAGCTTTTAGTGCTGCAATTTGAGTTTTTTAGTACATTGTAAAGCTTGCGTTAAAATGCAACAGTGTAAATGAGCCCTCAAGTGTATTATTATTATTATTATACAGGATTTATATAGCGCCAACGGTTTGCTCAGCGCTTTACAATATAACGGGAGACAATACACCAACAATACAGTTCAATACAAGAGGGTTAGGAGGGCCTGATCCTTGGAGCTTACAATCTAAGAGGGAGGGGCTGGTGGTACAAAAGGTAATAACTGTGGGGGATGGACTGGTTGGAAGAGTAGAAGATTCCATTATTAGCTCAGGGCAGGATAGGCTTCCCTGAAGAGATAGGTTTTCAGGGATCGCCTAAAAGTGAGCAGAGTAGGAGATAGTCTGATAAAGTGGGGTAGAGAGTTCCAGAGGAGGGGGAAGCTCTGGAGAAGTCCTGGAGATGAGCATGGGAGGAGGAGACAAGGGAGCTAGAGAGCAGGAGGTTGTGGGAGGAGCGGAGAGGACGTTTTGGGTAATATTTGGAGACAAGATTGGTGTTCAACACATACCTAATAGGGTTCAGTAAAGCATGGCATAAATATGCACATACATGTGAGAGCCCACATGCAGTCAGCTGCTACCAGTGGCAAACTGCAGCAGATATAGAAATATCCTACAAATGAATCCTGCAATCCACATCACCTTCCAGCAAAAACATGGAACATGCAGCAATATACGCATCAACATAAAACGCTGACATTACAATTTTGGTTTAGACTTGGAGGAAATGCACTCTATAGAAGAAATGTTCACCCTTTTAAAGAAAATCCAAAACCCAAGACAATCCCCAATCGTCATCTGCAATGGTGTATGGCGCAGTGCTGGATTATGGTCCGGGTAAACGCATCTAAACATACCGCCATTCACACATACTGTAAGCTGCAACTTTTTAAAATGAAAAATGAGTCAGTCCTCATGCACACGGGACGATTTTACAGCGGCTGTTTTTGGCTTTTGACATTTTTTTCTACAGCCAGTAAACCCCCCAGCATGTTATCCTATGTGTCCATTCACACATAGACTGCAATCAACGTTTTTTGGCTGGAAAAAAAAAAAAACGAGAAATAGTGGGGTTCTAGAGGACTTTTTTATCTGTAAAAATGCTCTAATGCTGAAAAACCCTGCAAACCGGCATTTTTGGACTTTTTTTATTATTTTTTTTGTGTTAAAAAAACGCTAAAAAAAACACAAATGCGGAAAAATCGCCGTTAAACGCTAATGCAAAACCCCTAAAAAAAAAATCACGTTTTTAACATGACTTTACACAGCTAACGTTACCAGCGTTCTCAAAATGTCCCGTATGCAGGAGGGCTGAGGGTGATATTCTACAATACAGTTAGTCCCCTACATACAAACTTTCAGTTGTGAACTTTCAAAGATACAAACATGCGTTCTCATGTCCAATTGTGTGAGTGATGCAGGGCATACATGGTTCAAATTCCAAACGATTTTCATACGAAAATCAGACCTAAGGATAATCGGCAATGGCATCGGCTGATTTTCGCGATTCCTCCCCATTTCGTTTATCCGGCATGCTGGAAAATTCATGAAAAACATCTGATTTTGGAAATCATTGGTGGCACCATCGGATTACAGAAGGAATGACGTTTGGATTTTCAGACGAAGAATCGTTCGGAATTCGAACCATGTATGGCCTGCATTAGTTCCCATTTCTGGTGTACATTGCCGTGCGTGCATCCTCTACAAGTGGAGGTGCTTCTGTGTACTTCACTGGATCTTTATTTCAACCCTTTTCCCATGTATTATTTGTGTGAAATGTGTTATAAACCTACGACAGTCGTTTTCTGGGCCGATTGTTTTGGTTGGGTATCTAGGCTAACTTTGACAAACACCCCGATCACACTGGATGCGAATTGGCATGCGATTTTCATGCCATGCTACTTGCAAATCGCATGCCCAATCGCAGCCTCTTGTCTGCAATTACAGCGGTCATATCGGTGTGGTTCTGACTTGGTCGGAGCCGCACCGATTTCTACTTTTGCTGCGTTTTGCATAGACATCTGTATCAGATGTCTTGCAAATAGCACCTGAAATCGGCATCTCCCTCGACTTTGAAATTGTGCGACTTCACTGTAAGTCGCACAATTTCAAAGTAGGGTTTGATGTGACCGGGGGGTAACAAATAAATTCGACTTACAAATGGAACGGAACTCGTTCATATGTAGGAGACTTACTGTATTGTAGTGGATACAAGGGACATCCATCCACTCCATCCACTGCCTGTTTTCTAGGTTCCAGTTTAGATTGTAAGCTCCTGAGAACAGGCAACCGATACATCCTCCTGTTACGGTTCATACATTCTGCTTGGAATGTTGTCCTCTCCTTTGGTTGTACAATGTTGTGTATTCTAGTGGTGATATATAACTGCCTGTGAGGATTTCTTGGTTCACAAAGCGCACTGATGTGTTACTCTGCATGGTAACATGCGTTATGGTAAGGCAACCTATTCATTTCAATGAGTTCAATTGCAGTAAAATGCAACAAAAAAGGCCACGCAACACAACGCATGACAGTGGATTACTGTGTGATGTGGTGCACTGGTAAGGTGCGTGGGGGTGCTATTGAAAATGAATGGCACTGCAGCACCCCAAAGCACAACACACACAGTCCGGGTTCACCTGATGCAGTGTGCAACTGGCTCCGGTTTCTGTGCGATTTCCGCACCGCATCATAATCGCACCCTGTTAATGCAAACCGCTGTGAGTATTTTAAGTTAACACCGCAAAATCGGTTCAGTGCGATGTGCAGAATCGGATGATTTGGCTGTGAACATCTGTTCGATCCAATTCTGGTGCAAAAAAAAAAAAAAAAAGGTCACTATCTTGGTGAAGATGCAGTATGAATTGAGCCATACAAAATGTAGAGCTCAAATTGTACCGCACAGAAATCACATGTGATTTCCACAGGAATGCGGTATGGTTCCTATGCCAATTACATGCAGTGTGCCACAATGTATCAATGTGAACCCCCGTGCCTAAAGTGTTACTAAACCCAGGATCCTGCATTCACTATATCTGGTCTCCGCGGACCCTGCATTCACTATATCCGGTCTCCCCGGACCCTGCATTCACTATATCCGGTCTCCCCGGACCCTGCATTCACTATATCTGGTCTCCCCGGACCCTGCATTCACTATATCTGGTCTCCCCAGACCCTGCATTCACTACATTTGGTCTCCCAGGACCCTGCATTCACTATATCTGGTCTCCCCGGACCCTGCATTCACTATATCTGGTCTCCCCAGACCCTGCATTCACTACATTTGGTCTCCCAGGACCCTGCATTCACTAGATCCGGTCTCCCCGGACCCCGCATTCACTATATCTGGTCTCCCCGGACCCTGCATTCACTATATCTGGTCTCCCCGGACCCTGTATTCACTATATCCGCTCTCCCCGGACCATGCATCCATTATATCTGGTCTCCCAGGACCCTGCATTCACTATATCTGGTCTCCCGGACCCTGCATTCACTATATCTGGTCTCCTATGACCCTGCATTCACTATATCCGCTCTCCCCAGACCCTGCATTCACTATATCCGCTCTCCCCGGACCCTGCATTCACTATATCTGCTCTCCCCAGACCCTGCATTCACTATATCTGGTCTCCCCAAACGCTGCATTCACTATATCCGGTCTCCCCGGACCCTGCATTCACTATATCTGGTCTCCCCGGACCCTGTATTCACTATATCCGCTCTCCCCGGACCCTGCATTCACTATATCTGGTCTCCCCGGACCCTGTATTCACTATATCCGCTCTCCCCGGACCCTGCATTCACTATATCTGGTCTCCCAGGACCCTGTATTCACTATATCCGGTCTCCCCGGACCCTGCAGTCACTATATCCGGTCTCCCCGGACCCTGCATTCACTATATCTGGTCTCCCTGGACCCTGCATTCCCTATATCTGGTCTCCCTGGACCCTGCATTATATATCTGGTCTCCCCGGACCCTGCATTCACTATATCTGGTCTCCCACAGTACACACAACATGGAAATGCAATGAATTTTCTAAATGTAAACTGCCTAATACCTTTTCTCATCAGCAGTTAGAGCAGTCTTGTGACTTCTATCAGTGTCCAGCAGAGCACATGTTAAAGCTTGTAGGAGGAGTTTTCATTCTGCTCTAGGATGCAGACCCTATGTCTGGACAGTGCTGATTGGCCCAGTGCTGATCACTTGTACTCTCCCAAGAGAAAAAAAAAAGTTACTGTTGCCTTTCTATCATCTAAAACCAGTCTGCCCATTCTCCTCTGATCTCTGAGGCATTTTCATCCACACAACTGCTGCTCACTGGATATTTTCTCTTTTTCAGACCATTCTCTGTAGACCCTAGAGATGGTTGTGCATAAAAATCCCAGTAGATCAGCAGTTTTTTAAATACTCAGACCAGCCCGCCTGGCACCAACAACCAGCCACGTTCAAAGTCACTTAAATCCCCTTTCTTCCCCATGTTGATGCTCGGTTTGAGCAAGTTGTCTTCACCACGTCTAGATGCCGAAATGCACTGAGTTGCTGCCATGTGATTGGCTGATTAGCGATTTGTGTTACCAAGCAATGGAACAGGTGTACCTAATAAAGTGGCCGGTGAGTGTATATTGTGTATTCTAGCTCTTCCTGTTGAATTCCCAATAATAATATAAAATACAAAATCCAGCAGGGATGGTGGGAGCCCATAATGGACACAGCAGGTGTTCAGAGCCAGGAACTCACACCATTAATAGAGTCCCTGAAACTGTCCGGTGCTTTAATTCTCAATCTATCATTATGGCCCTTTATGTGGGTGAAAAAATAAAAAATACAACAAATAAAAAATAGATAAAAAAAAGTAAAACATTTTGGAAGGCAGATAGTTTGGACAATGTAAATGGGCATTTCACAACAGTATTGGCGCCACTAGTATTACATTCCATGTGGTTCAGTGTAAGGAGTCAGGGCGAGATTAGGGTTAGGATTACGTTTTATACTGGGGATAAGGTTAGCAACAATGTCATTTTTGGGTGGCCTAAGAACAATATTTGCAGTTATAAGTGGGTAACAATGAGGGTTTGTTCAGAGGGGCGCAGGCACCCATCCAGGCTGCTTTTGTAACTGCATCCACCCCGAGCTGCATACAGGCAGCCTACAGAGCGGTGGATGCAGATTCAGCGGCTGCATGGACACAGTCGCATGTCAAAATCTGAATTGCGGGCAGGAGCGACTGCAAAGTCCCGAATGCAGACAGTGTGTGTTCAAAGCCTTAGGCCATCCATACATGGGTCCAATTCTGAACAATTTTTCATTCAAAAATCGGAACCAAGAATATTCGCCCAATTTTCGCTGTTAGTGGGGCAATGGCACTGGCCAATTTTCGTGCCTCCTCCCCATTTCATTTATCGGGCATGCTGGAAAATTTGTGATAAACGACCGATTTTCGAAACCATTGGTGGCACCATCGGATTACAGAACGAACAATGTTTTTGATTTTCGATCGAAAAATCGTTCGATATTCAACCCATGTATGGTCTGCTATAGAGGCAAATTTGTAAATCATCTTGGTGCATGTGTTTCAAATGACAGTAATTGAGTCACTCCCAGAGAATGTTCAGTGAAAGGCAGACTCACTGATTTTTTTTATATGGCCCTTAACCTCCCTGGCGGTATTCCTGAGTGTAGCTCGGGGTAAAGTTTCAGCACCACAAGCCGTAACCCCGAGCTACACTCGGGAATACACTGCAGCGCTGCTCCGGGATCTCTTCTGCACTTACCTTGTCCTGCGCTCCCGTGATGTCCCTCCTGCAGTGTCCCCGGCAATGTCCTTTGGCCGATGCCGGCATCCGTCTCCCAGGCTCCATTCCCTGCGAGAGTCGGGACGTACGGGGGACGGAACGGCGGGAAATTGAAAAATGTGAAAAAGCGACATTCACTAAAATCACATAGTAAAACATTCCTGTATCAAACCATTTCACATACATTTTGTCCCGAGGCTTTGTCCGGCGCCCTGCCTGCTTTTTTACTGTTCTTTCTGCCTGGAAACTGAGAAACGTCCATGGCGTCCAAAAAGCGTCCCTTTATGTCAAAAGCGGGTTTAGACCGGCTAGAGAACCGCGATAGTAAATCAGAACCACTTGCAGAATTGAGTGATAATAATTTGTAGGGGAAATTCGTCATCAGACACTGAAAACGATTTTGCGACTTTGCTCAGTGATATGCGAACTTGGCGCTATATTTCAAATTTCAGTGTTTTTGGTTTGATTATATTATTGAATTAAATTTATTATTATATTATTATTTTTTATGATTATTTATTAAATTATAATTTATGATTTCGTGTTTCAAGTTTTATCTTACCCGGGATGTTTACTAGACTCTTCTTCGGACAGATTTCAGTGAGTTATTCCTAAAAATTACAGACCTACAATAAAAAAAAAATACATATTTCCATGCAAAAAAATGTACCGCTTTCAGCACAGAAATATGGACATAATCAGACCACTAGGGAGGGTACTTTAATTCAAAAAATGTCAGTTTCAGACCCCCCCCCTCCCCCACAACAAAAATAAGCAGGACAATATTTACAATTCAAAAATAAATGTGTGTTTGTGTGTTTATGTGCAGTTTATGTGTGGGTGTAAATATACATTTATACTGTGTATGCAGTACTGTCCGTGAGGCTTTTTTTTTTCTTGTGCACCAATGGCTGGTTCACACCACAAAATGCACTCAAGATACGTTTTTGCTTACAGTTCACACCACAAAAACTCACTGCAGATGTATTTTGGCATGCACATTTTGATGCGTTTTCAATGCATTCTAGTGCATTTTTTCCCCCTTTGTTTTTTTTTGTTTGTTTTTTTTCAAGGTTTCCTATTTTTTTTTTTTTCATGTGATGTGTTCTGGTGGTTTTTTTATGCATTCCAGTATAGTTCTGTGCAGAAAAAAATGCAGCATGTTCTACTTTTTTTCCTGCACTGGAAACTGACTGGAACTGACTGCAAAAGGTGTGAACTAGGGCCATTGGATTACATGGAAAACACTGTGCATGCGTTTTCGATGCAGAAAAAAAATGCACTGGACTACATGTGGTGAGAACTGGCCCTTTAGGCTAGTTCACACCACATACAGTTCAGTGCATTTTTTTCTGTATCAAAAGAGCATTGATGGTAGGATACATGGTTTCCAATGGCATAGTTCACACCAGTGCAGTCAGTTTAAGTGTATTCGAGTTCCAGAAAACAAAAAAGTAGTACATGCTGCATTTTATTCTGCACTGAACTGTACTGGAATGCATCAAAAGGCATAAAAAAGCACCAGAACACATCACATGAAAAAAAAAAAAGGTAAACCTTGAAAAAAACAAAACAAAAAGGCAGTAAAATGCATCAAAAATGCAATGGAATGCACCTAAATGCACCAAAAATGCACCTAAACGCACTAAAAATGCACTGGAACGCACATGTCCTTATTTAGGTTGAAGAAAAGAGGAAAAAAAGTAACCGGAATGCATCAAAAACGCACATACAGAAAGACTGAGTTTCTATAGTGTGAACTGGCCCTTAAAGCTACATTTTTGGCACAGCTATTGGGGGTGTACTGCTTGGACTTTAGAAGGAAGGGATATATACCCCAAAAACTACTCCAGAAAGTTAGAGCTCGTTCACACTAGAATGCGGTGCAAGAGAGCCGTGTACCCTTGCAGCTTCTGCACCGTATTCCGATCACAACGCCCTTGCGATCTGCTGTGGGGGCTAAAGCTGACAGCACCCCAAACACACATTCCAAACGCATTGCGTTTGCCCGCACTAGACCGCATAGTACAAAGTACCAGGCAATGCGGTTGCCGCATGTTTAAAAAAAGTAGCGCATGCACTACTTTTTAGCGCGGTGCGATTTTATCCCATTCAAATGAATGAACATGAAATCACAACGTATAGTCTCGCATACGAATCACACAGCACGTTCCTGTGTGACTTATCAGGACATAGCGTAACCTGGCCCTTAATGTAAACTAAAAAGAATGGTGGACAGGACTCAACTTGTGGGTTCTTGCAAGTGCACTAATCTAGCTACAATAATGAAATAAATTATATATATATTATATATATATATATAAAAATTTTAAAAAAATATATTTTTTTAATTATTATTATAATATAT